GTATAAAGACCAAACTGGAGATTAAGACTTCATGCCATGAATGTATTTAATGTGTTTCATAGAGCGACACATGTGTGCTTGGTTGTAATACAGCAGAATCCCTCAACCATCGCTTATTTTAATTTTTTTCTGTCCTTAAAATTCATTCAAAGTTGCATTAAAAAGTCTTAAATGTGACAAGTTAAAACCTGCAGATACTCTGATCTGAACACTTCCCACCAAACAGAGCTTGATAGTCTCAGATTAAAGTTCACAATCAAAAATCTGACCTGTTTTTGTTCAAATCATGTGGAAAAGCTTCACTGATGTCTCAGCTGCAGCAGAGGGACACAGAGGCTYGGGTACGGCAGGCAGTTTTATTATATAAGTCAGGTTTTTCTCTGGGTACTCTGTCCTCATGCAGACCAAAACCTGCAGGTTAGGTTCACTCTGTGATGGACTGGAGCCGTGTCCAGGTGTCCCTCACCTCTCTGCTGTAAACAATGTTTGACGTTGTACGATTCTGTGATGTTTTAAACCGTAACAATCCTGACTTCTTGGTTTTAGACGATTCAAGCTGCTGAACTGATCGACTCGGAGTTTCGACCCGGTATGAGCAGCCGTCAGAAGAACAAAGCCAAGAGGATGGCCAAACTGGTGGCAAAGCAGAAATCCAGAGACTTGGATCCTAACGAGAAGAGGTCCAGTCTTTTCATGCCTCGTTTACATCCACGTTTGTTAGCTTTAACAGAGAAATGTTCCTTTTTTAATCCACGTATTAACTTTCACCTCAGCGGGTCCCACTGAAATGATTTTATTTTTATTTTTTAGCAACGACAGTTTTGAAGGTGAACCYGAGGAGAAACGAAGAAAAACCACCAACGTTGTCATCGACCAACCAGCAACTGAACATAAAGTCTTGATTGACAACGTCCCAAATAACTCCAGTCTTCTGGAGGAGGTAAAAATACCAGAAAGGCTTCATAAACGTTGGGTTTGGAGTTTTGTGTTGATGTTGTTGTGATYTTTAGACACACGAGTGGCCTCTGGAGAGCTTCTGTGAAGAGCTGTGTAATGATCTCTTCAACCCATCATGGGAGGTAAAACTGGACTCGTACTTTCAACTGATAGGATCTAAAATTAAGCATCTARTAAACAAAAAAAGTCTTTAAAAACAACAAACAGTTTTGAAAGTAAACAACGTGTTGACAGGTTCGACACGGTGCAGGGACGGGTCTTAGAGAAATTCTCAAGTCTCACGGCGCTGCAGGGGGGAAAGTTGTTGGAAGTACTGCAGAACAGGTAATCATTCATTCATGTTTTTGTTTTTTAAATCTGTAAATGTGACCCATCACCTCGAAATGAGGATTAACTCAAATTTGTTCAAAGTGACCTCATCATATTCTCAGATTCCTGCTTTAAATCTACATTTTGATACTTAGATCATCCTGATTTCATTAGTAGATCCAGAGATATCAGTGTTTCCCCTACCATTATACAGCCGAATTATAAAGACSAATTTCCTAGGGGAAACACTGGATATTATTTAATTTGTTTTGTTGGTTACAATAATACATAAAGATTTGGTCTAAAACTGAATTTTATGTGATTTTAATGAGGATGTTTTTTAGGGTTGGCAGTGAATTTCATTATCGATTTGTTGTGTTGCACGATTTATGCGTCCCTCGCCATGTCGGAGCCGTTTACGTCACCCGCAGAGCGTTGTCAATGCTGGCTGACCTAAATAAAGTTTAGAAAGAAAAAAAAACTCTACCTGTAAAGATCTGCCCACTCTGAGACTCTCGAGTGTTTTTAATTAATAGTAGTTTTAAATCTAAAAATCACATTTTATTATTTTAATCTTTTTCTCATTCAGCAACCTATTAAATTTCTATGTTTCATCTATGAAAAATACACATTTTTTTCAGTTAATATTAAAT